AAGGGTGGAAATTTGTGTTAGATCTTTCTTTTGGAGTCTTACTGTCTCAGGATACTTTAATGTTATCAAGGATTAATATTATTGTACCTATGCTTGGAAACTCAAGCATAGTTTCAGCATTTGAAGATCATGTATGTCCTCATCCTTAATATCATTGGGCTGGAAACAAGGTTAAATTTGATGTTAATGTTTAAATTTAGACCTGAATTTTAAAAGGACGTTGGTTAAGAGGAAAGGTTGTTTTGGTTTTTTCTTTTTTATTGAATGTTTGTAATATGATAAAACTCTTTGGGTGGTTGATTTTTGTTTTTCTTGCTCACTATATTGAACTTTTATGTAGGTTTGACCAAAAATTTGTCTATTGAAGACCCATGTTAACATATTTCCTAATTTCACTCTAGATTTTGGTTCTAAACTTCGGTGTATCTCAAATGCTTATGTTAAATGTCTGATGCCTACATTCCCAAGCTATGGCCATTTTTTATAAATGTTTTTTATTTTCAATTGTGAGACATAACTATGTTACAATTCTTTGAGGATGGTACCCTTGCTTCTTATTTTCAACGTTAGTAGTTAAACTTGGTGATGTATATATTTGAAAAATTGAAAATGGTTTTGGTTTTGTAAAAGAGAGTTATTGACCTGCATTCAATTATAGTTATATTTGTGGATGTTCTGGATTTGGTATTGAACTATAATTATGTGTGTGGATGTTCTAATAGGCTGGTGACAATGTGGGACTTCTTCTGTGTGGCCTAAAAAGAGATGATGTGCAGCATGGAATGGTGAGTGGAACCAACCAAGCTACTTTACATCCACTTAGTTATGTAGCAACAAATAGAACTTTTTTTAGTAACTGTAATCTATTTATGATTTATGTGAATTTTTAATCATTTGCCATTGTTACTTAAAACCTTGTGAATCTTTCATGCTTTGAGGAATATTTTATGTAGAATAGGAGAGAAAAGAGTTTTTTAGTAATATTTACTATTAGCTTTTGAATAAAAATATATTTTAATGGTAAGTTAGTTTTGTTGGTCATGATGTGTAAAAAAAGGATGTTGTAAAACATCTGATTTCTTCCAACTGCATAGGTAATTGCCAAACCTGGAACCTTGAAGACATACAAGAGGTTTGAGACAAAGATATATGTCCCCACAAAAGATGAAGATGGACGTCATACAACCTTTTAATCAAGTTACATGCCCCAGTTTTATCTGAGGACTACAGATGTAACTGGAAAAGTGGAATTACTTGAAAATGTTAAGATGGTTCTGCCAAGGGACAATGTTTCTGCAACTTTCGAGCTGATCTCAGCTGTGCCTTTTGAAGCAAGTATGCTGTAGTATTCCTTTTTCTTTTCAAAAAAAAAAAAAATTGATGAATTTGCTAATTGGAAGTTCCATTATAGCAAATTATTTGTGCCAAAAAGAGTTTTTTCTCTTCCTACTTATTAAAGACTCAAAACTTAAAAAATAGGGTAGTCTTAATATGTTGCTTGCCATCAATGTAACAGGACAGAGAATTGCCTTGAGGGAAGGAGGTAGAACTGTTGCTGCTGGTGTAGCAGTAGCAATTGGCTCTTGGTGGCGACGGTGGTTTGCTTTCTGGGTCTTCTAAAAAGTCTGAATTGGTTGCTTTAGATGGGTTCTTTTTTTTTTTTTATCAAAGGTTGTTACTTTTGGGTGCCTTTTTTTGAATTCGATGATTTTTGGGGTTTGTTGTAAATTTATTGCAAATTAAATTAAGAGGCTTATTGGTGCATTGTGGGGGAAACCATTGCCTTTGTTTGCTCTGCGAGGTTGAAAAAGGAATTCTACGTTTGATACCCTTTTTGTGAAAATTGAGAGGCCTTTATTGCAAATTTGTTGGAAGTGAGAGGGTTTTCGGTGCATTGCCTGTGAAAACTCTCGTCTTTGTTTGCTTTAGTTGGATTTCTGATAAAAGATTCTTTCTTTTTGGTTTATATTCATGAAGGTCTTTGATTTCAAAGGCGCTATATCCAATATTACAATTTTTTTTTTTCTTTTTGCGTGATTCTTTCACGTTGAAATCGAAAATTCAAAATTAGACACAACTTTGATGTGATCAAATCCCAGATTCGAGCAACATAAATAATTAATATATTGGGATCCGGCTTTTCTTTTTTTAATATTAAATAAAAATTTTTGTTGATGGTTATATTTAAAAACATAAACATAAAAAATTTACGATTTAAATAGTATCATGTCAGAATTGCAAAAAAAAAAAATTGTTTAATAAGGAAACAAAAATAAAAAGCGTATTGATTGAGGGTAATGAAAATTTTTTAACAGTAATAGAATATGAATATCGGAAGCTGCGGAGATACTTCCTATCCAAAACAGCGAATACATCTGAAAATTATGATTAGAGTTAAAGAAGTCTTAAAAGATGAACTAGCGAGGGAATATTTCCTCCTTTAAATTTGGGGTTTCCCAGTAGTTTCTTTTGTGTAGAATTTTGATGGGAAAAGCAAAAGACTTATCGTAGCTTGGAGAATTTCCTGTAAAACAAAAACAAATAATTGAGATTCAGTGAAACTTAATCAAAAGAGATGGAGAAGTGCACCCTATCAAATTTATGTCCAGAGATGCTCTACAACTACAACTCATCACCGCACACAGAAATCAAATAAGATACTCGGTGCACAGTTCATTTTTCATGATTCTGCAGCTGATTAGAATCATTTATTATTAGAAAGTAATATGAAAGGTAAAATTGGGTCCAATGTTTTATTTGTTGCTCCATTTGATTCACTTTCATGATCTTACTTCAACATGATCTATTAAATTTTATGTTTTCCTATCATGTTGGATAACTTGTGTCGTAAAATGATATATATATTAATATTAAAATTTAAATTTCAAATTCATTAAATGTAATCTTTTAAAAGTGATTGTATGAATCAATTTAATTAAATTTTAAATTTAATAAATATATTATATTCGTGTTAAAAGATTTTGATTAAAAAAGACAAAAAAATCCGAAACCGATGGGTTTCGACTCAACTTGACATTTTAAGATCAATTTAAAAAAAAAAAATTGGGTTTCGGGTATCGGGTTGGATCGGGTGGCATGAAAAAAAAAATCGAGATCGGCTTTTGGGCAAACTCTACCTGATTTATATATATTTTTTATTATTTATTTAATTTTATAATTATTTATATATTTTTTAATATATATTTAATTTTAAATTTATATTAAAAATAATATTTTATTAATTTCAGGTCCGATCGGATATGATTTTATACAATATCGAATCGAATTCGAATATAAAAATAATAAAAAATTATCGGATCAGATCGAATTCAAATTTTGCATATTTAAAATTGAATCGGGTTCGAAGTGAATAAAACCCCGTCCCGACCCGATATCATCCCTAATTTTGACACTTTCTCAATTATAAAACTATTATAAATTAATTTCTTCTTAATACAGCTAGTCCCTGTATGCCTGTATGGTATCATAGAAACTACTGACTTTGAGGCAAAAGCTAATATGGTGTTTATTTTAATAAAAATGAATTAGACATGGCAGGGAATATTTGAGGATTGGGTGTACGTTTCTTTTTGTGTAGAAATTTGGTGGAAAAGGACTAACATATTGGAGAATCACTTGCAACTCACAAACATATATATATAATTGGGGAATCATCAGTGACACTTAGTCAAGGTGATTGAGAAAGCCATCCTATTAAATTCATGTCCAAATATTCTCTACAACTACACGGACATTAAACAAGAGATATTGAATGCATCATCACATCTCCATTGTTTTTATGGTTCTGCAGCTGAATATCATTTCATTATAAAGAAAAAGAAAACAATAAAAGCTGCAATATCGTCTTCTATGGTTTGCTCACTTTATATCGAATATTTACAACAATTCAATGAAATGGATTTGGATTCGCTTTGATGTAGTCGTATGGGACTCTCGATCGTAAAGTGAAGACAACCTTCACATGACATGCAATATAATTGCAGCTGTCCATCGTTTAAAATGTTAAAGAAAAAAACCTTTTGACTTTGATGCCAATGCATGGTATCTATAGGCAGCTAATAGACACCAATTTCTTTACTCGTTTATTTCTTTTTTTTTTTTCCCTTTTTATTAACTGATGGAATTGTGAGTTCTTAACTAAATGAGTGTGCAGTGGGCAATTGTCTTTGTCATCAAGAATCCCAACTGTTTATGGGACCCTCTATACATATTCTCCTATTAGCTTTCCATGGGACATAAACCTAATTTTTTTAGAAAAAAATACAAAAAAAAATAAATATAATACTAATTCAAGTTTTTTAATTTAAGCTAGGGATGATATCCAAAAAGTCGTCAAACCTTTTTAAAAATAAATATAAATTTTAGAACTTTTATTACATGATTAAGGTTATGAATTTTTTAAAAAGTTATGCATTTTTATTTCATTATAATCATACCAATTAAATTTAAAAATTAATGAATGAATTAAGTCTAATTTTTAAAATTATTAAAATAATATTCTCTGAAGTATTTATCTTCTAATTCATTTATAAATATATAAACTATATAACATAATTACTATTTCTATATATAAATATGTACACATGATATGTACATAGCAACTTGTGCTTATCCAAGTTATACATAATATATATGGAATAATTAGAGAGTGTGAAACATGATGAATTACTGTACCCATTTATCAATATCAATTAACTAATAAACTAATCTCACAAAGCACAACACAACAAAGATTTTGTAGCTGAAAAATTAATGTTATACTATTATTATTGAATCTTAATTTACAAAAAAAAAAAATTGTGATCAATAATATATAATAAATAAATAATTTTGGTATAAAGTTAATTGGTAATTCCCCCCATTGCCATTGGTTGTTTGTTGTCGTACCGTCAGTTTTGCATTCCAAAATGGTCAATAGCGTCAACTTTTCAAGCATAAATACTCCATCAGTCATTCCCAAATTGCACCGCTAGCTTAGATTAGCTACATGAGCATACAGATGATGATGATGAGCAACAAACCCTCCTTGAAGAAGACCAATTCGTTTCCCTTAAAAAACATTTCTCCTAATTCCATGTATGTTCAACAGACTATAGTTGGACCCAGCTGGAGGTCTCCTCATCAGGTAGAATTCCCAACCTCCCCTGAGGTCCCCCAGCTGGTCGATGAAATCTTCCATGTCGCTCACCATCAACACCCCATCTCCCAAACTTACCTGCCTGACCTCTTCACCTGCGCAGCTTGCAAGGAGTATGGCGCCGGCGAGTGCTACACCTGCGCTGACTGTGACTATCAGCTACATGATTTCTGCGCCTTTGCTCCTCCAGCTCTTAAGAAACATCCCATCCACCCCCTTCACGACATCATATTCTTACCAAAACCTGGTAATTAACTAGTTAGTTCCGCTCTTTTTTTTTTTCCCCTTCATCACTTGCAAGTGTATATATTTATATATATAGTTCAAAGTAAAGCAAACTTCAAGACTATACAACCACTAAATACCTAGATTGTTCACTAAAATATAGTGGATGACAATCAGTTAAATTATATATTGTGTTCAAGATCTTCATACTTGATACTGATTGAAACTTTGCAATAAAAAAATTAATTTTAGTTAAAGGAGGATTATTGAAACCGAAGTGCGATATCTGTGCCAAAACCACCAAAGGATGCGTTTTCAAATGCAAAGTATGCAGTTTCCAAATGCACCCATGCTGTGCAATGTTGTCAACCGAAATCAGCATTTCAGTCCACTCACACACCCTAAGGCTCTTGCCCATGCCGGCTCATTCTTCGTATGGGGACCCTGATGGCTTTGTATGTCGCGGGTGCAATCGGAGGAGGTCAGGGAGAGTGTACCAATGCACCATCTGTGATTATCATCTCCATGCAGTCTGTGCTAAGAACATGGTGAATGGACTTCAAGCGAATGGTATCAAAGGCATGGATAAGCCGAGCAAGCTAGGATCTGCAGCTAAGGTTGCTTCTCAAGTGGTGATAGAATTCATTGGAGGGCTGCTTGGAGGGCTTGGACAAGGGGTTGGACAGGTGCTGTTTCAAACTGCTACTAAAGGAAGGTGCTCTACTACATCAGCTAGAACTGCATAAAGCATTTCTTAAGCTATATATATTAATTAATTAATTTAACTTGATTGATTTTTTGTGTCTTTCTTCTACGATCTATATGTTCAACAGTTTTTGTTTGTTCAGCAGTTGATGGGAGCTCTGGGTTAAGTTTGCAGTTGGGGAAGTGTTGCAGCAATTGCTACATACGTATTATATCTCTTATTGATTGTGTCAATAATTATAACAATCAAATGACAGTATGGTTTTCTGTAAGTTATTTTGTATATCCAATATATTTAAGGAAATTATTTTGTATATTTTTCAATGGCATTGCTTTGATTTGAAGAACCCATTTTGTTTCCTCCAATTAAACATTTGTGGGCCTTTGCAACATATAGGGCTTTCATATGCAGGCCTTTCTATTTTGTCAGCCCAAACTTTTAATTTTAACCCTAATAACCCCATCTAAACATAGTTTTTTTTTAGTGAAGTATCTTTCGAATTATTATTATTATTATTATTGTCACTTAATAATCAATTATAAATTGATTGACACAATTAAACCAGTTGAATCAAAATTAACAAAATGTGTAACTCATGTTATTGAATATTTTATTTATTTATTTAAAATTTTAAATTGACAAATTTAATTTTCTTTCATCTCATAATATCTTATTTTATATATTTTATGATTTGAACTCAAAAAATTTTTAAATAAATATTAAATTTTAATTGTTAAAATGTTTCTCGAGTCTTTGGTATTCACTTGATTAATGACTAAGCTAAGACAATTTAATTTCTAGCGCAAGTACCATAAATAGGAAAAAAAAATTGGATACGTGTAAATCCGATAATAAGGCTCAAAATTAAAAAATATCTTGTCTAATAATCCTGCTCCACTCATTAATTACTACGAAGAATCTGAAAAGTAAATGCCTAATCATGTCACATCAAGGTTGTAATTCATTGGTCCAAAAAAATTAAGTTTGTGATTCATTGTTGTAATCATAATTCAAGGGATCCATGGACCGCAGCCAGGGAATTATTTTCTCTTTTTAGGAGAATTTGCGTAGATAGTTTTCGTGGTTTTTACCCCTTTTGTCTCATTATTTTTATTTGTTTTTGTTAGATGTCTTAAAATTATATTTTTTAATTATTTAAAATTTTTATTTTTTATGATTTTTTAAATTTTTTATATTAAAAATTAAGAAATTTTAATTTTATAAAAAATATTTTAATATTAAGTATATTAAAATAAAAAAAATTTTAATTCTATGAAAATCAATGTAAGACAAATAAATAAAGACAAAAGAGTAAATTTTAGGTTCCGTATTGTTTTGTTCTTTTTACTTTTAAATATTATTTGTTGGTTTTTAAATCTTTAATGTTGCATTAAAATAAATTTTTTTTTTTGTAAAATATTTAGTTAAATCTGACTTTAATAATAATTGGCTCCCCGTGTCTGCATCGACGACAGAAAAGTGGATGCTTAGATTATTTGTAATTTTTGTATTTAAGTTTAATTTTAAAAGTTAATATTATATATAAAAATTTATAAAAAATATTAAAATTAGAAAATTTAAAATTTTAGTTATTTTATTTATTTTAAATTATAAAACTAGATAAATATAAAAATATTATATTTAAAAATTAAAAAATAAAAACTTATTATAAATATAAAATATAAAATATTATTTATTTTAAACTATAGAATTGGTAAAATATATTAAAAATATATTATATTCTAAAAATTAAAATAAAACTTATTTAAAAAATAAAATTTTGAAATTATTTATTAAAATTATAAAAACTAGAGAAAATATACAATTTTATTTATTTATGTATTAAAATATAAAAAAATTTCTTAAATAAAACAAGTTTTAAAATGTTTAAATTTAATTTTATGATAAATATTCTATATGTTAATTTAATTATAAAATAATTATTTTTTAATGACTATTTAAAATATTTAAAGCCTCATTACCTAAACACTATAGTTATCTTAATCAATTAGATGATAAACTTTATCAACCGAATATTTTGATTTTAAAATTTCCAAATTATTTTGTGTTTTTTATTTACGTTAATGTAAAACTTAAGTGTATGTGTATAATTTTTTTTTTTAAATTATAGAACTAAAATTGGTTAAGAACAAGCGATTGTATGCACCTTGATGTAATATATATACCTAGGTAACTTACCAATAATTTTAAAAGACTTATACAACACTCTGTTCAGATAAATTATAAACTTAACAATATCAATTCAAGTTTTTTTTTAATGACTAATTTTTTATTTAAATTAAAAAAATTCAGCTTTCCGAATTGGTTTTTTTAGGTATTACCTAAACAGCCTAATTTGAATTTCCAAAGAATATGGTCATGGTTTTATTGATAGCTATCATTTTTTATTATAATTCGGTCACATTTTCAGATCATCAAAGCTTGGTGGCTTCTTATTATAATCATCTTGATTCAGGACTCAGGAGTTGTTAAGCAGAAGGAGCTCCAGGTTTAATATGTCAAGCCCGACCCAGGATGCACTGTCCGTCGGCCATCTGCTCAGCCGCCCTTCATACCTTTCAATTTTGCTTGAGCAACGAGACCCCACTCAACCAAAGAATGCCCGCTTATGTTGGTACTCAAAGTCTGAAACTAAAACCATGAGAAAGTACAGAAAAAGCTGAGCCAAAATATTAAAGGAAAGAACGACAATTTGACGAAAGGAAGGCGGCTCTTGCACTAACATTAGTAGGCGAAATTTTGGCAGATGCCCCCTTTTGGAACAAAGCCTCTAAAGAGTGTCATTACTGTGAATGTTAGTCCTACTAACTGTACAAAAATGGGAATGAAAAATCAACGAAAATGATGACTTGTACATCACAATCCTAATGTCTTTGAGCCTAACTCTGATGAGTCTTCTTCCTCCCTTGGTGCTCTCCAGCAACCAAAAAGTGGTGGAGGAGGATCAACAGGAAGTGTACCCTCCAACACCTTCACTACCTCCCCCATAGATGGCTTCACACGTTCATCTGCCTGAAGGCACCAAAATGCAATTCTCAATGCACGCTCCAGTTCTTGGGCATCGACTTCATCCTCAAGTCTTTTATCTACTACATTCTTTGGATGACCTTCCATCCATTCTTTGTAAACCCAATCAAAAACATCATTCACTTCTTTAAAGCCACTAACTAGTATCAAAACTATCTTGCCAAAATCCTCCACATCCTTTTGTGCTGAAGCCCTATGGGTGGCTGTCTCACCATAAAGCATCCCCAACCCGAATTCGTTCACTTTAGCCTCAAAATTTTCATCAAGGACTATATTTTCACATTTCAAATTTCCATGGCATAAAAATTCTCTACACTCTGTGTGCAAATAAAATATGGCTCTACTGACACTTAAGCAAATCTCCATTCTCTTTCTCCAAGTCAGTCTCTCAGCCAGTGTTGGATCATCAATATATTTCTCCACCGAGCCATTCTTGGCATATTCATAGACTAAATACCTGTGATCCAACTCACAACAATAGCCTTCCAGCTTGACAAGACCTTTGTGATAAATGCTTCCTACCTTTGACACTGCAGCTCGAAATTTTCTTGCTTCAATGGTAGCTTCCAGTTTTTTGACTGCAACTGGTTGGTTGTGAGATAAGGCACCTTTGAACATCTTAGGCCCAATTTGGAGGTTGAAATTGCCTGTAAGGTCCTTGATCTCAGTGAAGGATAACATGATTAAACATTTTGACTCAGGACTGGAATAAGCTACAGCAGCCATTCTCCGGTAAGTGTTTCTTCTTTTATAAAGGTAAAATCCAATTCCCAAATGAATCACAACAAACACAAAAATTGTGCCTGAGGCTGCTCCAACAATACAAGGAATGCAAATTTTATAAGACTCCTTGTGTGCTTGTGGCGGGGACTTCATTTGGAAGATGGGATCAACAGCTATGGGGTCTGAACACCTCTTCACAAAAGAAGTGGAACTAAAGGAGGAATCTGAATAACCACTAACATACTGAGTTTTCATCATCCTGCATTTTGGATTTCCATCATTTGTGAAGGTTACAGCAGTACAACTTGAGTCACTGAGGCACATGCTTTTGCATTGGTCTAAACTAGTTAGGGAGATAGAATCATTGACTGGGTAAATTCCGTAAAGAAACATGCTGGCATGCTCAACCATAATGGACCCGGATTTGCACTCATGCCGAGATGAAACCAAACATTTTGAATTAGAATGCGCTGTGTGGTGAAATGGGCATGTGCAAACAGGGGAACCAGATGCATTAAATGCACAGATGCCTCGCTGATCACAAGTTGCAAAGACATTACACTGATTCTCAACGGCTTGCCAAACTGATCTCCATGTTTGTGAAACCTCTATCCATGAATATAACCGTAAATTGCCATCCACATCCAGCCGAAGGAACCTAAATCTTACCGTGTCATTATGATCTTCTCCAAACACAGACCAAACAGGTCCCAAATTTGGGGCCACAAGTTGCAGGCTTCCATCAGGAGTGAGAACAGCACTGAGATTTGAGTGAGAAGGCCCTCCAGCTCTCCAATAGGTGATGCTGCTTTCCCACCTTAGCTGTAGTTGACCAGAAACATTCATACAGAGGCTATATACACTTGAAACATAATTTTGGCTGGCAGCTCTCAATATTCTAGAGGAGGAAAGTCTCTGGCCAGGAAGAAGCGCATCTGTTGGATTATCAAAGCTTTGCCAAATTACATCTTTCTTCTCATTCAGTAAGACAAGATTGCCATCATCACGAAGAAAAGCTAAAGCAACAGATAATTGGCTTGTTTTGCTGGTCCACACTTCTTGACTCTGCAAGGCATCAAAAAGAACCAATTCTCCATTCTCTCGAAGCTGGAAATAAGAATTGTTACTAACAGTAACATCAGCTCCAGCAACCCAAACCACTATCTGTTTATCAACAGGAATTGACTTGGAATTGAAACGAATGCCAACACTAAACTGGTTTGGAAGATCAGGGCGGTTATAGAATCCAATTGCAAAATCACCATTAGAAGAAACCCATGAATTATTTTCTTCTACAGAAAGTTTAGATCCCAATGGAATTTCTGAAACTGCAACCCCAAATAGCAAAGACCCAAGAGAGATACATAGCAGGAGCGCAGAACCATGGAGGAATCTCTCCTCTTCAAGCATATTTGCATATGCTTTAGAGATACAACATTAAAAAAAAAATCAGTACAATAATGAAAACAAAAACAAAAACACTATAAAACTTAGCACTGATTAAGACATTTAACCTCTTTTAGCATGTAATTAGGCTAAGATAAAGGAGGAAAGTAGGCAAAGTGCATGATTTTCAAGACCAATCATAATGCAGCTCATAGAAAACTATAACTACAAACTTCAAAATTTGTGAACTATCTACGTTGAATCAAAGTAATGGAACCACATTTCAATGTTTATTAGGTAAAAGCCGGCTAAAAACTTAACATTTCAAGGGATTAGCAACAAAAATCAAAAGAAATTATAATAATTGAAGAAAGGGAAGCAAATATTTTCAGAGTTTGGTACCTGAAAGAATAAGTCAAGAGACCAGAAATTCAAGCAGCAGGCATAGAATAGCACCTTGAGCATAACCAGAAAAGGAAGAACCCTTTTAGGGCACTTATCAACGAGTGAGCACTAAAAACTTGACCAAAGCAACAAGATTTCAGAAGTGGTTGAATGAATATTAGAATAACAGAAAAGAATATGACTTAAACAAAATGAAAATATATATTTATTTATTATGCATGAATGAACTGTAAAAAGATTTTAAACAATGTGATATCGATGAGCAGGTGGCGTCAATTAAAAAAAAAAAAAAACTTTTAAGCATTTATGGGACCCAAATTCAGGAGAATAGAAATGCACTGTTGGAAAAACGCCATCATTTTCAAAGCTGGAAAAGATGGGCTCTGGACAATGATATTACAGATGATTCAGTTTTTTTTTCTTTTTAACACTAAAAAAAGGTGATAAATTTAGAAAGAAAAAGTTGAACTGGGCTTGGTTGCAAGAGGAATATGCTCTTCACAAAGTGAATCAAAGATTCTTCTTTTCTCTTACATTCCTTTTGGTGAAAATGAAAAACCCAGAAAGGAAAATTATTAAAAAAGAAAGAAAGAAAGAAAGAAGAAGAACAGGATTAATGAAGAAGAAAGATCTATGGCTATTTGCTATGAGCAAAGGAAAAAGAGATTAAGGAAGAATTAAAGACAGCAACAAAAAGTGTCACATTATTAGGTAGAACAAGGCTAGATGAAATTGTTGAAATGTGAAATGGAGAAATAGGAGTTAAAGAGAAAGCAGGCAGGAAAGAAAACCAGCAACCAGCAGACTTATTAAGGCCTAGAAAGGGAAAGAAAATTAATGTGATTGTCTGATCAGATGACTGGTGTTTGAAGAAGTGGGCTTGCCCTTTCTTTTGTCGGCTTTATTTTTTATTAGTATATTGTTTTTATAAGTAGTACTACTTTTATTTTGTTCTTTTTAATCACTATCTGAATCATATAATGTAGTGTGCTTGTTTTGGATCCAACTAATCACTGGAAATAGAATTGTTTTTATTCAATCTTAATCAATAGAAAAAGGCAAATCTATTATGAAAGACAATATCTGATTAGATTATTGATAGAGTGAATAGATTTATTATTTTCTAAATTCTCTCTTTTGATTAAAAATGATAAATTCACCATATATTAAATTTGAGCAAAATTCAAACCAAATCTAGTAATTTAAAAATTAAAATTTTTATTATTTTTTCATATTTGAAGCATATTAAATTTTTATCATTAAAATTAAAAATTTAATATTCTACCAAACAAATCACATGTCATTAATAATTTATATGCACAAATAATGTATTAAATATAAATAAAAATTAATATATGAAAACAAATATCAATAAAATTTTGAAAGTATAAAAAATATATAAATCAAGTAAAAAATAAAAAAAATTAAAGTATAAAGAATTAAATTCACCTAAAGTAGTTGTAGAAAATTTTAAAAAAAAAAGATCCATTTTATATATTTTATTTATTAATAATTTTTACTTAAACCTAAAACCTTTAAATATTATAGCGAAATTTTTTACGTAGAAATTAAGTGAGAAGAAGGTGAGGAGGAGTAAAAAGGCAAGGAGAAAAGGAAGTGAAGCCCACGTGGGCAAGGCTTTGGGGAAATAATAATAATAATAAAATAATAATCAGTCAGCTTTGGAGGAATCAAAAGTGGTCCCGACATAAGGATGCGAGTAGACTTGGACGGATGCCATGGCCGCCTCTGCCCCTCTCATCTCATTGTTCAAGAATGTCGGAATGATCTACGCACCCACTCTTGCCCCCAGATTTAACTATAATCACAGTTATTGCCATTTACTTTCACATTTATTGCATTATTATATATATATATTATTTCGATAAACAAGTATTTGATTAGACGTATATCCGTGAGCCATATACTGTGTGTGTTCATGGATCAGACCGTCCATCAAGTTTGTGGGCTTGGTCCAATATGAGTTGGATCTTTAATAGAACTTTTCAAGTACAGATTTGGATTGATTTTATCAGACTATTTTGTTTTCAAAAATGGCAAAGTACCTAAGTCTTGAAAAAATGTTGCCACTCTGACCATAGTCTTGAAAAATGTTGCATATCCACAAAGTCTAAAAGCTGAGTTGTTTGTAGACGAAATCACGATTAACTAATTGAAGCATTTATGGGCAATATAGTTATAAATTAGTAGTGGTTAGTATTTTGGTCAAGACATATGACCAAACCCCAACAAATTGATGAAGAAATCCCAGCTGTTCAGTCCATGAAGATGAAGGATATACTTGTACGATTAAATAATAATAAATCAACAAATGTAGGGTCGAGAAATAAGAAATTGATATGATAATCTCATTTGCTTCGCTACTTTTTCTCAAAAGAATACAAAGGAAAATCACGAGGCCTTGAGGTGCATGGCAATGCATAAAGTAGCTTTTTCTTCCCTCGGATTCTCAAGTACAATGGACCCACGTTACTGGCTCATGTCTAAGAGGATTTAGCAAATAAAAAAAATCTTAATTCTTAATCTCAATTATTATTATTATTATTATTTTTATCTTCTTTGCCAAAGAATCCATTTCTTGATCATCCAAGCAAAGCTCGGTAGAGCAGCGAAGGCAGTTAAGGTTGGGCTAATAGAAGAGAAATTGGATTAATGTTGAAGCCCATGTCAAATTCCCAGTGGCCTGCACTGTTTCATAAGGCCTAGCATTCACTAGGTGGGCTAAGCCCTTTTGAAACGAAAAAGAATCTCGCAATCTCGAGAAACTCGAAGATTTTCAAAGTTTTTAACTCAAATCTTGAGTCAAAATAAGAAGTGTTTTAGTAAAGGTAATTGCTCTAGGAAGTCCCAACAAATATATTTTAATCTTGTTGTTTTAGTGATTCTAACCATTCATTTTATCCCATTTCAAATATATTTTGCTGTTTCAAAGAAACACAACAAATATAAACATTTGCTTCAATTTTATAATCCAACCAACCATAACATTAATTAGAAGCATCATTGCTTATAATTAAAAGGAGAAAAAAATATAATAATCTTCACATATTATTGATTTATTTATACACAGTCCAAGTTCAAAGTAAAAGCACAGTCTGACATGGTGGCTGCTAAGGACCCAAAGACATTAATGATCATAGACACCATCACATAAAAGGAAAGGCAAATCTATAAATTATTTAACCATTTTTACATCCTTCACCCACATGAAAATGACCCATCCACAGCCAAGATGACCCCATTTGTGTAAATTTCGATCAAATATATCCATTCATTCTAGAGCCCTCTAATCTGCTCATTGTTCTTCAATTAATTCAGTTGCTCATACATATAAATGCAGATTTTTTCAAAAACAAAGTTTTGGGTTAGATAGATTATTCATTTTTTTTTTAATAAGGCAATATGTATTGTAAATATAGAATTGTTCAATTTTTTTTTTAATTTCTTTAAATGATCTTAATAAACTTTTAATTTTAAGTGTAAACTCGTTTATTGGGCCTAATATTAATGTTAAAATCCTCTTAAATTTTGGATAGATTTTCAATCTCGGAGCGGATAATTTGGCCCTTGACGGGTCTAATATCATTGTGTATAAAATTGTTCATTTGAGAATATCGACAAAAATAAATTAATAAAATTCAAAATTAAGACCACTTACTATCGAAAATTGACAAATTACACTAACAAGAAGGTACATACAAAACTGAACTAGCAATGAGGTAAAGGAACAAGCAAGTTTCATCATAGACCACTAAATCAAACATTGATTTTCTGGTGAAATCCACAACCAAACACAAATGATTTTCATCTCTTGATTGAACCGGTCGGCGCAACCATAGAGTGCCAAGTGTTTGCAATGATTTGACCTCGGTCCCCATGGGAGGGAGCCAATCGAGCCGGCCATTTCCATGTCATATCCCCCACAAAAATGAGGTGTTAGCTAATAATAGTCCAAAGTTGGCTACAGCCACCGATACCAAAGTGAAAACATCTTTGTCAAATTGGGCATTCTCGAAAATTATTTTTCGGTCCATTTATCAAAACCTTAGAGAGTCAGTCCAAAATGGCTGATTTGGAAGAAGTTGAAAAGGGTGCAATCTCATCCCCACATGCCCAAATCTCCAAATTTTGGACCATATATTCTCATCTTAGCGCATATAATACATGCAAAGTTGCTTTGTGTTTGTCAAAATTAGAACCAATGCTTCGTTCATGTCCATTTCACACAGAACTTGAAAATGAAATATGAAGAGAGACAAAGACATAGTTCTAAAAATGTTGTAACCTTAGTTACCTGAAATTGAAAGTTTTAAGCCAAATTTTAAATCATATTTAATGTTTATGAACATTATATTATATTCTACTTTTTTATGGAAATATTTTTTTTATCCAGTCAGAGGGATAGTTTAATTTATTTATTATTAAAATGGGTTGGAGAATTCATACGTTTTTAACATTTTTTTTTTAATTTTTTATGTTGTTATCATTTGATAAATTAGTATATTTCCTTCGAAGACAAGAATTTTATAATATCAAAGTTGTTAAACGTCCAAGTAACATGACATGTATTAATTAAATTAAATATTTTATTTAATACAGGTAGTTGGTACCTTGGCGGTTTTTACTGTAATGAGAACTATCTGAATATTTTTTCAAAAATTTTTTGGGGTATTTTTTTAGATAATGTTTTGTATCATTTATAATATCATTATGATAATTTAATTATCAAAATGATTTTATTATCAAAATAATACCAATATGATTTTATTATCAAAATGATTTTATTATTCATGATTTGAAATCATTTTATTTAGTTAATAATTATGAATTTTTAAAAATTAAAGATAATTGTATTTTATATTATTAAAAATTAAATATTATTTTTTTAAAAATGCAAAAATAATCATGTACATTGTAATAGTTACACAAATTAATGATTTTAATGTTGTTTAAAAATAATAATTTATAAAATATTAATAAATTTTATATATAAATTATGTAAAAAATATTTGAATTAATAAATAAAACTAATCAATTAAGTTTATAACAAAAGAAAAATAAAAAGATTATCTTCTATATATAAAATATTAAAAAATATAAAACATAAAAAATATTTTTAAACTTGTTATAATAAATATTAGTTTAAAAATATAAAAGATTATAATATAAAATAATTACGATTTTAAGAGAAAGTAAGTTTTTAATTTTCATATTAAATGGGTAATATTAACAATTAAAAGTTTTACATATCATTTTATTTTTGTAATAAAAGTTTTTCACTTTTTTGAATAAAAATTAGATAATTTTCTGAAACAGTGACTTAGATCGCTTTTGGTGATCTAAGATTACCCGTCACGTAAAATCATTAAGTACTTATTAAATATAATGATTTAATAATTTTATATAAAACACTATTTTTTGAATTAATCACCCCATACCAAACATTACTTAAAGAGTAATATAAATTTATTTATAACTTGTAAAAATAAGTAATTTTAAATTGATAGGTAAAGACATAAAAATAATTTTAAAAAAAAATCAGAATAAATGAATTTTTACTTTTTTTTAATGAAAATTAACTTTTTATTTCCCTTTTAATGTTTATAAATTAGTAGCCTTTTCTTTTTTATTAAAAAAAAAAAAAGAAAAGGTCAACAAGCCTATTATCACAGACCGTGCATTCTTTATGCTTAAACTACACGATTATGTGCACAAAGGCTACTCGTAGTCAAGGTTAGTTTTTCTCAAAGTCTATTTTCTCATGAACAACTTGCTATGATTCCTGTAAGCCATATTTACAAGAGCCTTTATTCGTTCTAACTCGTTAGGGTCACAAGCATAATTATTAAACTCATTGAGAGTGGCCCACATCTCCCTTCATA